CTAATAGCTTTTTGATTTAATTCAATGTAATTATTTGCAAATCTTGCAGACATATTGGCTCAACGTTATTTTTCCTTTCAACGATCAATTATATTCGATAATTGATATTGAATCCTCTCAACGTGTTATATACGGTATACATATACAAACTACATATACGATATATATATATATATATATATATATATATATATATAATGAAGAATAATAATAATAAATAAATAAATAAATAAATAAAGTATTTTAAAATATTCAAATACAATCAATAATAAAAACTTGGTTAAATGTATCCTTTTAAGAAATCCCTTTAAAATTTCTGTTTTCATATTTCATATTTCAATAATCTGATTTTTCTAATCGTTAAACGTTAAAAAGAATTCATTCGTAATAATAATTAAATCGATCAGTTATTTATATAATTATTTTTCGCTATTATATGTCTTTCGAATTAATTCTTTTAATTAAAAAATAAATACGATATATTATATTTAGAAAAAAACGTCACAGCCTTTCGACTTATTTCTAACTAAATTTCTTATGTAATAATACTGAACAATGTCTAACATGTTTAAATGTTAATAATAACATTATTTATCTTAATGTATGGGCAGCCGGTCGTTAACGTTTTAATAAATGGGCAACAAAATTATTATAACATTTTAACATTATAGTGTGGAGGTTAGAATTGTAACCTATTAAATTAAGGTCCATTAAGAAGAGATTTTAAGTTTAAGATTTTTATATGCTGTACTTATGTTTCTTCTATATACTGCCGATAGAATCTGTAATTGCTCGATGAGTAAATTGTTCTGTAAAAATGTACGGATAATGATAAAACATTTAATTTTTTTAATGACGTTAATGCAGGATAAATACATGGATATTTAGCAAATGATTGTTTTTCGATAAATCGTTAAGTGGCATCCATTAGCGAAAAAATACGCGCAGTAAATACTATTCGGCTATTATTCATTCGCTAAAAGATATCGAGACAAAGAGCAGTTAAACAATTTGTAATGGCAAAACAATTTTAATATGCTGCGAATTCACTATTCGTTATTAAGTTTATCGCTTCTCTTATTATGCAGTCTTTTATCAAACTGCAGACGCGATTAATATCATTCTGACAACCACGTAAGCAATGTCTATTCGTACTATTCGAGAAACCCGGGCATTCGTACATTTCATCTACGTAAGATGCAACGGCGGGATAAAAGTAAATTCGAATTTTATTGTATTAAAGCGAAATAATATGTGCTATTATATAATACGATATCGTAGCAAGATACTCGATATGAAGGGTCGATAAGTGAAAATTGAGGTACGTCGCAACGATGTCAAAGCCCAGTATATAATTACAAGATTTAAGATTTTTTCCAGCAATAAGGCCAGCAAATTAGAAAGCGCGTTGGCAGTGTGAGTATTCCCGCTAGTATCGCCAATAAAATGCGCGTCGATATTTCGCGCGCGATTGTTCATCCGTTGTATAATTGAAATTTCGCGCATCTCCTCGACGTCATTCCCACGGTCGTGCACTTTCGCCATTATCCGCGTGATTTTGATTTACGGCGCGGCACGTGGGTGCCTTTCCTCTTTCTCTTTTTGCAAACCTAGAAGTGATTTACAAACACGAGTGCGCGCTCGGACACTCGACGCAATTATAATCGACTACACGAGCTTTTCGTTGTCTTTTACGAGGGTTCCCTCGGCTCGCCTGTCCCTCGTTAATGAGAAAGCATTTTCTCCGTCCCCGTACTTTCATCGCGTGCGCCCGTCATTTTCCCGGTCTTTGTCGTTTCATTCTAATTAACTTGCACGTCCTCCTCGACTTCTATCATTGCGACCTCCTAGACTTTGAGCACTTGAGTATTTCTGCGAGAGGCCATTGGACAGCATCTTCGCAGCCGCGACGACGCCACGTTACACCGTAAAAATCGACTGATAAAAGAGCAAAGTCTATCAATTTATGCGACTAGTATGGAGAAGTAATTAAAGCTTGAGCGACAGTAATTTTATATTATTTCGATTAAATCGACGAGCCATGTTCATTCGCATCTCAATGAAAATCAAAAGTTCTTACGAAGACTTTCACAAATGATAATGTTACCCGCGGTGATATCTTACCTAATATTAAATATTAGGTACTCGTATAATATTCATGCAATATTCATGCAAATTAGAGAATGGGGAATCGAGAGGTTGATCTTAAGATATATTTATTTTATTTTCCTTTAAAATTTTATAAAAACACGTCGATGGCAAAAACATTATAAATTATCGGTAAAAATTTCGTCACGTGGATCGATATCGATGTGTATGCATAAAGCGCATCTAGTCAAAATTTTCAAATACGAATACTATTTATACCAGCTATTTTAAAATAAAATATTTCTTATTTTTATATCAACTTCATATAGATTTACATAACAGGCGCATGGAACATAACGGGAAAGTCATAAACAAGTACGAACTTGTCTGGCAAAACTGGGCATAAACGTATTACAGTTCACCCTTACCGTTCCATGAAGATTTCCCGAAATATCATGTAGTTTGTATTCATTAGTATTATATTATATAAATGTGCTAATTAATATTCCATTTACTCTCTCTCTCTCTCTCTCTCTCTCTCTCTCTCTCTATATATATATATATATATATATATATATATATATATTCCTTAGAAATAAACAGTTAGATAGATGTAATATATAAATATAAAATATGTCAATAATATTTATATTTTTTTTTTATAAAATATATATTATTATATATATATATAACTTCATACAAAGGATAGTAATTAAGTTGAATTCTAATTTGTTACTTTTTCGTTCGCATTCAAACGATTCTACAGCATATTAATCGATTTCAATATACTTGCATTTATGTGTTTGGCAATTCTGAGAAAGGCGAAGAGGTAAGACATATTACAAATGTATCCAAAATTTGACTTTTGAAGAGCATCCATTAAGTCAATTTCCATGCAAACTTAAATTCATGAAACATAAATCCTTAAGATAATGTATCAATATTTCAAATCGCTTTCCTGGTACAATTATATATGCAATATACAATTATATATGCGAATACAAGTATGCGCTGTGTAACTTAAGAAACAATATTATTTCATATTAATAACAACCTAATACATTTATAAAGCATATTTGTTAGTGTCGCGTCATTAATAATTCAGAATATTATTTAAATATTTTTTAAGCTATTTCTCCTGGCTATTAAATTCAATTTTTCTATAACTATTATCACATTACATTTATTCATATAATTATATTATTTAATTGATATTATATGTAATAATATATAATGTTAATACTATATAATAATATGTAATTAATGTATAACTGATCTAACTCATTTGATGTAATCCTTCCCATAGAACCTGCATTGCACGTAATAATTTTTATTCTCTTTGTACTTTTTACCTAATTACATCTTCAGACATGCTTACACATAATAAATATTTCGTTATCAATAATCCCTACATTTACTCGAATTTTTTCAATTAAAAAATATACATTACATTCTAATCATCCAATACATTTAATGCCAATGCTGTAAACATTTAATCAACACTTTCTAAGCGAATCTAATCAATATTTTCAATATATATATATATATATATATATATATATATATATATACATACATACATACATACTTACATCTACCATATACATAATATTATTATTAATTCATTATTTCAGTTATACATTAACAATTGGATTTACTAATAACAATTGATTGATTGCCCAATAAACTATAACAATATTACAGAGAATATAAACGATTGGCTATTCCCGACTTTAATAACGAGAGTACGCTTTTGGCAAACTTACTCCCGTCCATTTTTGCACTGCATACAATCAGTGGCATCAATAATGAAACGAACGTAATTTACGCAAATACCGAATTGTCAAAAGACGAGGGGGCTCCATCCATTGTCCCTACCATTCGATTAAGTGAAAATATCACAGACTCACACTAGCTTCGCGCTCCAATCCACGCCAATGATTTCTTCCCCGCGATACTCACTGCTAATAAAATAATGAATGTCGGCCGTTATGCGACGAGTCGCAAAAGCTGCCCGAGTGGAAAAATCCCAGCGACAAGACGTATTCCATCATAGCGCGATCAACCCTTCCTCCGTCGTATAATGGTCATTGTTCGGAAGCTCGCTCGAGTAGCAGTACCAGGGTGCGCGACAATCTCCCAGACTTTCGCGCGTTAGTCATGGCTCATCATCGGCCTCGTTAAGCTCAGGCTGACGGCGCCGCTTACGATGATGTCCCGTGCGATAACGAATTTATGCTAAATAACGTTAGGCCTCGGTTCGCACCCCCGTATTGGTGCGAGATGAGAAATTGACAGGTGTTGCGACAGGTGCGTTGGCCGGCAGCCACGTGCCGCCAGGTGCGACGGGCCTTCCCGATCTGGCATCGCGCCCCTGATGATACGCCACCCGAGCATCTCACGTGCGCCGCCGGTGGCAACGGCTCCGAGTCACCGTTACACAAGCAATCTCCGAACGCGGGCGTCTTTACGTCACACTCCTTTTTCCCTCCTCCCTCCCGCCGCCCACCCAACGCAGCTCTCATCGTCATTCACCCCGAAATTACAGATCTCGAGATAATGGTCGAGATTATCGACGTTGCTGGGACAAAATTCAATCGAGGATACGTCGGTCGGATTGTTACGGCATATTGACATAAAAAGCATTGTTTGGCAGCTGTATGCTTTAAATTATTTTGCTTGTTATTAAACCAAATAATATTATTTTAGCGTCTATAGGATTATTTGACAATGACTCCCGTGTACTGAAGCTTGCAGGATTAATAGGAAATCATTTTGGTTTATTTTGTTATTATTATGAAATTGATTGATATGAGAAAGACTAGTTAAGCATAATTCGATTTTTATTGTACAAAAATATTATACAAAAGGTTGATCAGTCTGTGAAAGAGTCGGAATTTTATAAATTTGTATAATGGATAATTCTTTTCGGATAACTTGCGCCTCATTGCTGTTTTTTCATCCATTTGTACGAGGGAGTCGACGTCAAGGCTGAAAAGTAAAGAATTAATAGAGATATAGGGGCGGGAATAGGAGAAGGTTGGAAAAATCGCAGTATATAAGCAAATAATTCTTACGCGGTCCCATTGTTGACTGAGTGTAATTTCTTCGAGGATCCTGAGCGCAGGAGGGATCGCATCGATAGCGCAAGAAAGGATTGTTGCAAACTGCGCAGTCGATGGCTGGTGTCTGTAAGTTTAGATTATTCTGGCGTTAACTTTAAGTAAAGCGTGCAATGACTGTATCGATTTTAAAGAGAACAAGACAAAAAGAAAAATCAAACGAACCGGGAATCTTTGGAAGCACGGCCATGGCATTGGATATATACAGCCTCCGATCGGTCCACCTCCGATGCCAATTGTAATTTGAGGCGATGATTGCCAAGGATTGTACGCATAGCAATTGCAACCGGCTATATTGTTATTTTCATTAAATATTTGATTTGTAACTGTATGAGCTTGTGGGCAAGGGTATAGCAAATGGTTTTTTTTTTTGCTGCCTCTCTTTCATAATCGGGGGAATTGTTTTCAAAATCAAGACAGAAAAAAAAGAACGATAAATCGAAGAGAAAACAATAATAGAAGAATGAATAATAGAAGAAAAAAAAAAGGAAGAAATAAGCAAAGTACAACGATCTAAGGAAATTCATAAATATTTCTTTCAGATTGTTATCGTTTTATATTTAATCAAATGTGATAAATGGTGTTTGTGCAACATTATCTAATGTAAATTCATAACTCATCGGTCAGGTAAACCAATGATTAGAAAATAAACGATGCAACGTGAATTGGTTTTTCATATTCACATTGGCAACTACTCTCATCGATTTCAGCTCGTTATTACGATCTGTAATAACTGTTTTGATGAATTATGAGCATCAAGATATTTAATTATAACATTTCCAGTTTGGCCTCCGTTCATTTAATTTACTTTTTAATTTTCATTTTATTGCATATGACCATGTTATTTTCATTAAATTAATTGCTTAGGAACATATAATTTTAATAATTGAGCACTTAAATGTTTCCCCAGGCATATGGAAAGTTTGTTAATTACATAAAAAAAAAAAAAAAACTATGAATAAAATACATTTTTAAATAATATATTCCAATAATTAATAATTTATTTTAAATCAATAATTAATTTTTTATCGATAATTAATTTTAAAATAAAACACTTGGATAATATAGCATTTGTTATCGATCAGACCATTTTTTTTATATTACTCTTAAATAAATTAGATATACGTATATACATACACGCGCGCGCACACACACACACACACACATACGCATGATAAGTACTTTTAAAAATATCTATAATAAACAAGCTTTGAAGTAGCTTGTAAATTAATTGTGCTCGTATAATATTAGATAATAATTTTTGTTTAATTATAACCGATAGTATTAAACCTTTTTTGTTAATGAGTTTTTATTATTGCATAAGCATGAATCTAATTTCTTATTAAAACGAGAATTTAGAATTAATTAATAGGAATTATGAAGTGGAAATATTGTATGTGATTGATTACTCGATTAAAAATATCCCAGCTATTAATACGAATACACGGGCAGTGCTTTTAAAAGGAAATTGTAAATATTTGATTTTTCGTTTTAATATTCGAATGTGGCTTTGTCGTACGAATGTCGAGTATCTCATCGACGCGTCTCATACCCTCAAGAAATAAACTCGTCTATTCTCCGCACGTCGGGTGAACATTGGGTGCCGAGGATACGTCTCCTCTTTGAGCCCCTTGAACTCGATTACTACGTAACGTTAATCCCGAAAAGAAATTCTTTGCGTCGGCAAGTAGGCATCTTATCCGACATTACAGGTTCTAAATACGATATTTTTATGTGGGCCCAAATCGGATATTATGCCCGACCCCGAGAAGAATATCATCGCCGTCGCAATTACGTATTGGGCTGCTTGAGCGCAGCTTCGTCGAAAAACTTTGCGAGCATTAGTGAATTTCTGGGATAAGAGTGTTTCCACGACGGTGCCGTCACGGAACTAAAGCCCAGTCCAGTCCAGTCCAGTCCAGTCCAGTGCGATACCCGGAAACGGATACTTACGACAGGCGCAATCAGCGCCCGGGTAAAATCCCGGGCCGAACTGATTATTGATGACGTTGTTGATGTCGATTTTCGGCAAGGCCTCGGGTTTCCGCTTCTCCTCGCTCCTATCTCCGTCATCTCGGCCGCACTTAGTATCCCCGTGCGAGCATTTGCTCTCGTCATTAGCGCCGCATTTGCCATCGCCCTGGTTGCAGTGCTTGTGGCAGTTGAGCTCAGCATCCGCGCAGCTCGTGGCATTGGGCACGAGATTGGTGATGTTGACGATGGTGGTGATGTTGGGTGAGTTGGAACCACGAGTCTCCGCGCACTCGCCATTCGCGCAATCGAAGGACGTCTCCACGGTCTTGGAGTAGGTCTCGACAAGGCGTTTCCTGCAGTGCGAGTGGCATTCGCGTAGACACGTGGCGTTGGTGCAATTCTGCTCGAAGCACTCGTCCAGGCAGACTCGCGTGTTACCTGAGTTCAAATCGTTTTGTAGGCTTTTTCATCACTCTTTTCTTTCTTTCTTTCTGTTTGTGCTATATGCGGGTCGAGCGAGTAACTGTGCATTTAATGCGATTTATCCGTATGGCCCACCAGGCGTCTGGCCCCGAGGATTCGCATTTTTATTATCGACCTACGCCCGAGTGGTACAGTTACACCGAGCCATAATCAATTTTATATCGTCACTTTTAACGCTACGATATCACAGCTACGATAATACACGCTAAGCAACTAAGGTAGTGCGCATTGCAATATAATTAATTGTCGAAGGTCAATAGTACATTACCGTTTCCTGCACATTCGATTTAATATTTTCTTTTCTTGAATCTTGCAGCACATTGGCCGTGTTGGATGTCGAGTTGGCAAGACCATTATCTTCGTTACGAAAATTACAATCTCCATTAGGCGCGCTACCGGCGCGATATCAGGTAGCGCGACAACTATCCCGAAACACAATATGAAAATCCAACGAAATTTCTATTTTATTTTTATGCAAATAATTCACGAATATTGGCAAAATTGCCTCAGCGCGCACGGATACGTCTGCAGTTTAGGATCTGTCGAGCCTTCTCGATTCATGTAAACAACGCTTTATGTAAACAATACATAAGCCGACGCATTGTGCAGGAGGCAAATTTTCTATTTTAAAATCATTATAACGAACGAGGCATTAATCTCGGAAGGCTTTGTGGCGCAAAATCTATTTTCATAAATCCATCATTTGCAGAATATACAATTATTCGGCCGTACGTGATCCAATAATCCTTCTTCGGGGTTCCGAATGTGACCTTAAAAACTTTCTAAAATATTTGAAGAGCAAATAATAGCAGAGTAAATTTTGAAATAAAGTAATTACAACGACAGTACGAAAGTGCGCTACCCGTGGAAAAGTGAAAGCTACCGTAGTAATTGGGCGGCGAAAATTGCCGCCTACTATGTGCTTCGAGCGCGATAAAGGTCGGAATCGCGAAAAGCTCAAATATCTCAGAGCTTGAAAAATTCAAAATTCATGAAGCTCGTTGCTATAAGTCGCTCGCGAGTCACTTACTTTCCCCAATCAGCGGCCTTTAATGATTCAGAACTATCGGCCCAAAGGCGCGCTCGTGTCAATTTCCACGTCGGCTCGACCTCGCCAAGCGCTTTACGCAAGTCGCCATTTATAGATCAGCGCGCGAATTCCTTGGGGATGCGACGGGGCGCAAGGACGAAGCTTTTCATCGTACCAAAACCCGAGCCGTGGTGCTGCCTCTTCTCGCGCTTCAGGCACTTGATGTAGGCGCGATAGTCGCTGTGCTGACAGTCGACCAGCAGTTTGGGCTCGCTCTCGATCTCATGGTCGATTTCGTTGGTCCGGAGCTCGGGATGCCGGTGGCTGGCTGCCGTGCCCAGGACAGCGACTAACAGTAGCGCGAGGCTGAGGCTCGCTTTCATGGCGCTTCAGTGCTTGCGCCCGGCGGCTCGCGCGTCGTTTTATATCTCTGGCCGGGTACGCGACCGCCGGCGTTTTTTCACGCGAGATGGACGTCGACAACGACGACGCGGACTAAGATGACGACGACGACGATGACGATGACGACGACGACGACGACGACGACGACGACGACGACGACGACAACGACTACGACGACAACGACTACGACGACGACAACGACGACGACCATGACAAGACTATTTACCCGGTGCCCCCTCCCCCCCCGCCCCTCCGCACAACCCCAAGCCCCCCTAGTGTTTGTTCAACGTGCGCATATATTCACGAGGGGCCGACGAGCGCTTCTCGAGCAAATTTGCTCTGCTTATCGCCATCGACGCCACCGACGCCTCCTCCCATGACTTTCCACTCCCGTACCGCGAGGTACGTGGTCTTCGTGGATTATGCAAGTCCTACTTTTATCGCTTGCTTTCGCTCTTACGGACCTCTTCCTTTTCCCACCTACGACACACTCTCACACTGCGATGGTCATTTTCGGTGATGTACCGTAACATTTTAAGCCGAGCTAACGAGCTTCGTTAGTACAGCATTATTGGACGGTAATCGAATAAGGCAAATTGTAAATTTAAAAGCCATGGAAGGAATATGAGAGCATTATCAATTTCCATCGTTATATTATATATCGACGGAAAGGAATATATTAAATTTCGATGTAATTGCTTTGTATGAGAATCGGGCTAGTTTAGATTTAGTATCGTTGCGAAAGAAAAATAAATTTATGTTATCTTCTCTATATGACGTAAAGGAAAATACCTGAGTTTAAGGAACTGTTTAGTAGTGTAAAAAGATTAACATTATCGTGTTTATCGAGTGCATTCTAGTAATATAATTTAGTCGTACAGTTGCATTTACGTTTATGGAAGATTAAAGAAAGATGAAGAAAAGCTCGAGACAATTTTATTATTCGAATCTGATAAGTAAGTTTAATGGTTTAAGAGCAGCAATTGCTTGCGTAATTTAAAAATTACGTCTTTTCAAGCATGAATTTTTCTGAAATATTAGCACTTGATTACCACCTTAGATAACATTAATGTTTACACAGAGAATTTGCCATACGCTAGCATACACTGTCTAACCAATGATATCACAACGATACATACTTTTGTGAAATTAGTTTGAAGTTAATTGTTGTTGGGTGGAAAAGTATGGTTTATCCGAGGGTCAGATTGCATGACAACGCATGAAAGCGTATTTACGGTTTATAATGCACACATATTCAGCCAACTTGCTCCATATATTATGACTCTGGCGGTACAAGGATACAAGATAATTCCGGAGAAATATGCTTATTTTCCTTCTTTATTTTTTTTTCTCTATTCCGCGAGGAGACTTATGGAAGGAAAATACACGATATTAAACATTTCAAACATTAGTTTAACATTATGTGAAAATTACTTTGGATTATTGCTGGCGAGAAATATCCACAAGGATAATTAATGCATTATTACTAATAACAAACAATCAGCTGTGAAGTGTGAGAATGTAAGGAATGTTCTATGTTGCTGATTTTTCAACGATGTATGATAATAGTATCATTTTATATTGTTCGTGACGTTAACGAACGGATTATGGACATGGGAAATTAACGATGAGAATTGTAATAAATTTTTCGCTAAACACATTGAAATGAACGTTAAAACTTGCTTTATTCATTGTACAAAAATATAGAAAATATGTTTTACATAACAAAATGCAGCATCGTCTATGCTATATAATATACAAAATTACTATCCACTGTGCCGATTTTCACGTAAAATAAACGATTAAATAAACGTACGCCTTACATTTGTGTTGCGTGCATACACGCATACACACACACACACGCGCGCGCGCGCGCGCGCGCATATCCAAATCCATGCATATGATTATTTTTAATGCTTAGTATATTATATATTGAGGAGTATTCATTAAAAACGATTTTCCTTCGACTTTGAATAAAGTGCCAAAAGCTAATAACTATCGTCTCTTATTTTATATTTACTTAATATAATATTCATAAAAGCTTCTTTGCATAATTGTTAATTTGGCCACATACCCTCGTTGTTAAATAATAAGATATATATATCATAAATAATTACAATTTCAACAATGATTATTCACTTAGAATGCTTAAAAATTCTAAATAAATTCTGGAATTTCGATTTATTATAAAATTGAGAAAAAACATTATTTTTATTAGATTAAATATTAACCGTATAATTATACTTATAAGTATATTATCAATTACGGTAAATATAATTGTCTATCTCGTTTCAGAGATAACATTAATAGTAAATAATATTATTAATATAAATTATTTAAAATTTTTTTTGTAAATAAAATGTTTAAGTTTATATAAATTACATTTCTAACACACGAATGATTAACCAATTAATAGTAATGAACTAACTGCTTATTTATAAGAATTATTGAGCGACTAATAATAAAATAATACTCACCGTTCGTACAAATTGAAATCATAAAATGAATCACTTTGTCAATATCGTAGAATAGAATTTACCCTCGTGGGCATACACGTAAACACACATACATGATGAGTGCACGCACGCTTTATTGTAACAATAACTTAATGTATTTTTTGGATTAACATTAATTATACGCGATATTCTTAGAGCAAATTATAGCCACTCGCACGAAGTAGTGCAAAAAGTTTAAAATTCATATAGCAATACGACCGATATTTTCGTATACAGTTATTTGCGATATTAAATGTGTGTGTAGAGAAATTGACTATCAATAAGATTCGATGCATTTTTTTTTTCTCTTAAAATACGTACGTCTATACTCAAAATTAATAAAAATAGAAAACTTTCTTCAATGCCACTTGGATTTGGCAATTTTTAACTTATTATCTTATTAAATGCGAATAGTGGTAACCATTTTATAGTTTACACTAGATAAAAAATGAGGGTATTTATATGCTTCATGCCGTATTAATGTAAAGAGAAAAGGATAATAAGGTAAAAATTAAAAATGAGTTTCGTAAAGCGTATGTATAGTAATTTTACATTATCAGAAGCTTTATCAACTCTCGGTGTCTCGACCTTCCAGCATTTATTTCGCGTCTGGTCACTTCGTACAATACGCCATCTTACATAAGCATAGACATTTTGGAGTCATTCGACAGCGGCGGCAAACAGTCTTTTTGGATAAATGTTCAGAGTGCGCATGACGCGCGCTTCATATGTTGCGTGCTTTCACGTTGCGCACATTACACCAGCGTGAAAATGTTTAAGGCACCTTGTAAAGGTTGTTTTCGTCGGCCAGTCAACGCGAGGAACTAAGAAGTATGTATACTTAAGGTGAAGATTCCAGGCGACAAGTGACCGTAACGTCGCACTATCTGCCATCTTTTACGACGATGATGTTGCATATTGACATTTTTTCTTGACCCACATAGACAATGGAAAAAGAAATGGGCGGTGGTTCGGGTGGACGATTAAGCCTCAACTTAGGAAATATCGCACGAGCCGAATAATCTCCTCGTTCTCCTGGGTTTATCGTCTAATTAACTACAGGGGTGTGGGATGCACGTGTCAGAGTCAAGTGGGTGGTTTAGGGAAAGGGAGGGATTAGCGCGCGAACCAACGACCTAAAAAACGCACGGAACAAATGTGCCTGGTAATCGAGAGCGGTGACGGGTATCCCGCATAAACGCAATTGTGCTCGATACGCGCAATTATAAAAATCGCTCACACCCAAGCCCCGATGCTCAAGAGTCGCACTCACAGTTATGGCCTCGAGGTCCCGGTCCGCGGTGCTTACGGCTGTGTGCGCGCACGCACGTTTACCAAATGCCACTCTTTTGTATTTCTCGTACAATATGACGTAAACACTTCGACATCTCGTCGTACATCAGGTGTTTTAATAACCTATCTATTGCAAACAATTGGCTGATCGACTGCTATTTACGTTCGGATGAGGAAGTCAGCCTAGGCATATTTAACATAGCTGATGCGTGTGCGCGCACGCGTGCGTGCACGGATGATTGGCTGCTCGTCAGCTTACTCTTCCTCACCCCACCCATCCATTCTCTATACTCGCGTAAAAGTTATAAATTATTGCTCAGCGTAATTAATTTTGAAAGATGCAATTTATGACACAATGAAACATCAGTTATACGCGTTTTCGCGTACGTTTGATTTTACGTATGAGACGCACTACTATATAATACAATGTGGTCATTGGGCTTTCTTTTTTTACTTGGTTCTTACTGTAACGTTAGCTCTTGTTATTATTTTAGCGATTTATGTATTATTTGTAAAGCAGGAATTTACCGATTTTCATACTCAGTATTGTCGGTTTCGAGCGTTTATTCTAATAAAATTGTAGTAATTAGTAAAATTGTCAATAAGTAGTAAGAACCGTTGTTTTTTTTTTGTTTTTGTTTTTTGTTTTGTTATTTAATACTCTTTAATATTGAAATATTAGTTGTATTCGAAAGTTGAAGTTTTATTGCAAGTGCAGTATAGCATTGAAAATCCGTGCACTAAAAAATTTTTATCAACGGTACCTTGAACCTATTTATCACTTATTTTTACACACAACTCATTTTCGTAGAAGTGATTTATCATTAGGAATTCTCTAAGAAAATTTGCAAATTTATAATAAATATTCATTTTTTGCACCACTTATTAAACAACTTTTTACGATCGGTTGCTTTGTTAAATGTTATATGAATAAATGAAAGGAAAAAACTTTTTTTTTTATCAATCCTCACAATTCCCAGTAAAATTGAAAATATACCAGCAATAATTGCATTCTAGATTGTGCCAAGTATTATTTGTCGGCGTAAAATTACTTTTATATGGTTTAAATATGGGTGAAAAAAAACAAAAAGAAAGAAAGAATTCAGTACTAATTAAAGTATCTCTGATATAAAAAAAAAAAATATGCAGATATATACGTTTCAATGGTACTATAAGATGCTCAACTTTACAAAATTATTATTAAATGTAATTAATATTAAAAAATGTTACAATAATTTTGGTTTAATTTTATC